TCATGCACTTTCCTCCTAATCGCATGCTTATCAGCTTCATCCAATGATTTAACAATACTTTTGCGATGTTTACTGGTCATTGGCTCAGAAAAGGTGTGATTTTTTTTGTATTGTCTTAACACATTAAACACTGATGCGCGACACACCCCAACTTTGTGAGAAACCTTCACAACAATTTCTTTGATGGTTGATGCCTCGTTCTCCTCGCGCTCGATCTTATATATATTCAAAATGAGCTCTTTCATTTCTGCACTCAGGTGTCTTTTTTTAGAGCGTTTCCTAGGTGGACTACAGGAGTTTACAACTTCATCGGCAGTATCTGTACTACTGGGCATTTTGCGCAAGCAGTTGATAACAATAACAATCAATAACAAGGTATAACAATAACAACGACAAACTCAACAACTTAATAAGATAACAAACGAAAACGTCCAAAGAAATATCAAATTGCAATGATGCACACGACATACGTAACACGTCTGAACCTGAATGTGACTCTGCCTTGATACGACTGCTCTGCCGCTCGGCATAGGCATTTAATTGCGAATTGACCAATGAGGGCTCCTGTTTTACGTCGAGACGGCGGCGTTAGCGTGAAAATCACCCGAACCTTTTGTTTACATCCGGTCTATCTCTTATCTGAATATACTGTAGGTCCCTGCAGACAACTTCTAGGGTGTTTGACTATTACGGTCTTTATCCCGTGTAAGTTGCATAGCCTTTGTCTCCAGCAAACTCCGACTTACCGCCACAGTCTCCATACTGAGAATCGGTATCTCTCAGGCATTCTCGCTTTGCTCCGCCAATTGCTTCTGTTAATTACCTGGGTACTATTTTAAGTTTAAATCAAAGTACATCCCGCTGAAATGCGTCTTTTACAATTCTTTTCACAAGTATTTGACAAAATACGTTAAGCTGCGCCTTCTGAGGATGAGGAAGAGCAACTCTAGAATAAACAAATCATAACCTATGAGTAAGGTTATCAATCGAAACTGACAGATGCCAGTAGTGTTCGGCACAATCATCAGATGTCACTCAAAGCAGGGTACAGAATCTTGTATATTACTTAGACCCACCCCCCTGGTACTGTACTACTATTAGTAATTTGCTGGGCGGTCCGTAGGACCTTTGCCCATTTGTCACTGTCTAATGTACGTTAGTCGAATCTGTCAGTCGTGGTTGCCCAGAAGCCAGTCAGTGTCAAGGAAAAAGAGAAAGGGAAAGAGAAGAAAAAAGGTGAACAGCAAAGAAAAACAGAAGTGTATTAGTTTAAGAGGAAACCCCTAGGCTTTTTGACTTGGTACACTTATTAATTTTGAGGTAAACTAAAAACAAATTTTGATTCTGGTTTTGTTAGAATGTAATTTTGGGTTTACTAAAAGTTTGCGCTAATTTTTGATCACAGTACGAGCCGTGGTCTTGAATGTTTACGAACTTGTTCCACTGTGTACTCCACTGAGCCACGCAACAGAGGGTTGCTGTGCGATTCTGCTTGACTCTAACGTCGCTGCGCCTGAAGCTTGACGTAATCCCTCAAGTAAGGAATATCAAGGTCTCTATGTAGTCTCATTTTATATAGTCGAACTTTCTTAATAAAACTCAATTTAGAGGATCTACATAACAAAGGATATAGTCGCTGAAACGCAATTTGGAATTTTGTTCGCAACGTTGATGTATGTTTCTTTCAAGTCATCTCTTTAACACGAGTGACACCGAGATCCTTGGCAGAATTTATCCATGGTATACAATTTCCGTGTACCGAAACCTCGGCTGCCGGGCGCGACGTTTTTTGGTAAAATAAATACCCTGTGTTTTCGAATGATTAATTTTAATCAGCCACCGTTCCGCCCACTCTAGTACTTCGTCCATCGCACTCTGCAACCCGTCTTGAAGCAGGTGGCCAGTACACGACTGGACGACAACAGCAATGTCGTCAGCGTCGAGGTAGACTTCAAAGTTGCTGGGACAAGGGACTTCCTGATAAAACATTGGTAATTTTGATCCGAAACTTCCTTCCTTCAAGGAAGGATTTCAGCAATTTTAGAAGCCAGAAAGGGAAACCCTTTTCGATTAGTTTATAGAGGAAGTCCGCGACAAAGGCTTTTAAGACATCCAAAATCAAGATGTGCTCATGCTGAGGGTGAATCCTCTGGTCACGTATCCACCAGCCTGACTGCCTGTAGCTCGGTACTATGCTCGGACCAAAACCCGAATTGAACATCAGAAATCACAAGGTGATTTGACGAAAACTTCTCTAGGTGACGATAAATCACCTTTTCGGCGAGCTTAGAAGGAGCTCACAGCATACTAATGGGATTGTAATCCTGAGAAAATATCGAACCTACTTCCTTTGGAATCACGATTACCTCAGCAGTCTTCCACCCCGCAGGAAAGTATTGGATTCTGAGGATCGCATTGATTATTGTCACCAAATGTGTCAGAGCTTCCGGAGAGAGCAGCTTCAATGCCTTGTTGCTACTGTTTGTTCATGACGACGGCTAATTCGACTGTTCTAGATCCTCGTCGAAATCACGACTGCATTGGTTTTAGCCTTGCTGCGGAACCGCTTTTGATCGGCTTTCAGCAAATATAGCACAGACCCTCCGCAGGCTCCCTGATCCTCAGTCCTCATCCTATTTAAGAGAATAGATTGCAACTTTTCATGTGAACAAATTAAATTTTTTCAGGCAGAAAAACTCGACAATATTGTCCTGCCGCCCCTTCTTGTCCGCCACACATCCCGTCACGGTAATGCTTGCTTCTATATCCACATACATCTATGTTATACCTATGTATGCAATCGAGCAAAATAGAAACCTACTATTGATTCTTTGGTCTATCTTTAGGCTCCTGTATCTTACTCAGCAATATTCGCCTCGCTATTTGTTGAATCTCAAGCCGTTTGCCCTCGCGTATACAGGGTGACTTTGAAGTTGAGTCATTAATTTTCAGATAATGATTATAGAAGGAAGATAAACCAAAATATGTGTGTAAAAATAAAAGAAAATTTTACCTTGTTTTATAAAGTATCCTCCCGGCAAGTATTTCAGTGCGGACCTGTATTTGATCGTGAGGTCTTGGAGCACCGGCATGCCGTCCCCATGTGAGGTCTTAAGTCACCTGATTCACGAGCCCGTTGTACTACATTAACAAAGGCACAAGGGGTTGGTTGCACTCGATTGGGAAACCGATCCGCATAAACATGTGCCATTTTTTATTTCGTTTGAGCCACGCAACAGACACCACTATTCACTCACGCGTTACCGACTGACACCTGTATACAACTGAATGAAATAATTGTAAAAACATCGTTCCAAATTCTTTCGCTTTTTTGTTTCCGATGCGATGAACAGATAAGGTGGATTATATCCGTTGTCTCCAAACACGAGCACATAATATATTATTGAGACAGGGCGGTACTCAAACTTCCAAAGGGCTATAACTTTGTTACTTTAATTTTACCAGAAAAATGGTAAAGGAAAAAAACATTTCTTTTGATCAGATCTACTCACTGTTAAAATAAATGACTCAACTCCGAAGTCACCCTGTATACATGGCAAAATGATCAGCAGCAAGTCTCTCGCCGAGCATCATTTCCAGCTGTGCCCGATAGTCAACCCACTTACCACATTCGAGTAGGTGATTAGGAGTGTGCTCCTCTTCATTGCAATATTCGCAACTCGCGTACTCTCCCTTTTCTACCCTCTTCAGGTAGCTGTCGAAACAACGATGTCCTATGGGGGAACTGTGCAGTATAGTAATCAGTCCGCACCGCTCCATTGTCAATCCAAATATCATAATATAAAAATATAGTACCATGTCCAGTTGAATGCCATCTCTCCTGCCACCTGACAAAAACCGCATCTCTTGCGTCGCTTGTAGCTTCGACGCCCTTTTTATAGAGTGCATATCTTTCCGCAGCCAGCTAAACAATTGGAGGGATACCAGCTACCACCAGCAGTGCATCGGTCGACACAGTTCTGTAAGCGCGTATCACGCGCAGCACTACTTTTCGCTGTCTCCACGGTATTAGCTGTCTATATTTATTTTTCCTCAAGGCCTTGTTACCGACCTTGTCAGCATAGTCTGTCATCAGAATTCCCGGCAATCGAAGAACCCCATCGTAGAAGACTGTCCAAAGCACGGAGCCGTGCGACCTCCCATGGTTACCTTAATCGTCTTTTGTCCTACCATAAGAGCTCTCTCGTCAAAGTAGCTCTTTATCATGCTCAATAGATAGCTATGGGTTTCTAGCTTCTCGAGAAATTCGACGATTTTCTACGATTGTGCCGTGTTGAAGGTTTTCTTGACATCAAAAGCAACCATAACGCAAAGCTTCTTACTTATGTAGCTGCCGCTATCAGCTACTTCTGCCAGCTATACCACTGCACTACGTGCATCTGTGGTAGGCTTTCCCTTTGCGAAACCATATTGCGAGGCAGACAGACGACACACCAGGACTAGATGAAACACCAAATGGGATCGTGATAGCGCTGAGTAAAGAGATACCCGAAATCGTGCAGTATGTGATGACAGAATGCTTGAGAACGGGAGTCGTTCCGAAGAGATGAACGGAGCCTGGTTTGGTACTCATACCTAAACCCCCCGATATAGAAGTCAAATATAGACCTTTGTGTATGCTGAGTTCACTTGGACAGCTGCTAGAACGATGGTTAATCGTTCCAACAGCTTTCCCAGTGAGTTAAATTTTCATAGAGCCGAGGATTTTAATTTATTCAGAAACTCATTAGACAGTGGTGATCATTCAGCTCTCCCTTAAACATGTCAAGCTGACAAACTTATTAGTGAGTAGAAGAAACCACAATGAAACGTCACTAAATAGAAATTGGAATAATTTTTCGTTCGTTGTCGCTTTTAACATGGCAGAAAAATGCTTTGTGGCGCTAATGCAAAGATAACACGGCAAATAACCTTTATTTCGTGGATCTCAATGGACCAACAAACATGTAGTTATTCGATTTTGTCTCCTTAATTTTCAGGTTTGGATTTACACTTTTGGAGAAAATGCTGTAAAGTGTGTAAATGCTCGAAAGAAGAACACGAAGTTCAAGATGATGACATCTATGGATGGGCTCAGTTCCAATTACTTGGTAGTAAGCCAAATAAAATCAAAAGAAAAATATGTAAGTGCGTAAACATTGTATTAATTCATTTTTAACATTGCAGTTTCAGGCCTTAAACACGTTGGTATTTACTTTATTTATTCCGGCGGGTGTATCCGAGTAATTGGTCGGTAGGAGAGAAAACGATTGCAAAAGTAAATCTTTACCATGTATACTGTTGACTGTACATCTTATCTGAGGAAACTCTTCCATAACTTAATTAATTCATTCTCACAGAGAAGCTTACACTTCCCATGTCATTTCCGTCACTCTGTATGTCTGTCCGATAATCGTAGACCCCTCTATAAGTACTGGTCCGTTTTTGATGAGATTTCGATTAAAGGTTGCTACTTTGTCAAGTGCGGAAAAAGCTTTGTGGGTTTTGAAATATGTTCAAATGGCAATGGAACTACGCAACCACTGAAACCTCGTTTATCTACGTACCATCTTATCATTTTCAGAATTTTTCGAAATATGGGGGCTGTAAATGTTGCAACTTTAGTATCAGTGAAAGGCGTATAATTTTTGAGTGTGGTGAACAAAATATTCCCAGAGCGGACAAAATCAAAATAAACGGTGTCTTGTAGGGCCCATCTGTTCATAAAAGTTCATGTTCGGCGCAAGTTAACCCCTCTTAGAAAAGTTAACAACGAACATGTATAACATCGGAATTAAGCGGATCAATACATTATCCACCCTCTTAAAACATCGCGATCCAGCAGCCATATAGAGGGGTCGATTATTAGCGGACAGACTGATAGACAGATGAACCGACGCAACTGAGTGACATGGCTTTTGTGACGTACGTGTCATGTAACATCAAAAACATATAATAGTTACGTTCGTTTTACATACAATCCCAGATACGCTCAGATTTGATCTGCTTGCTCAGTGTATTGCATGTTCTTTTTACCAAAACTCAATGTGAATGAGGTGAGATTTCTGTGTCGCCCTTACCCCAACTGCATTACCAACAGAGCAACCTCAGCCAAGAGAAATTTGTCTTCACCAGAAGGTTTTTGGCATTTTATTTATGTGCGAAATCCACCAAATTCAAATTATGGTCACAGACTAGCAAAATTGTTTAGTCTTGAGGATACCTTCATAATAAATTAATAAAGAAACTAATTATTTAGGTTATGTTCTGATTAAGGTTAGCTCAGCTGTTCTTTTCGATCTCTAAAGTGAGTCAGACATGCTCTGTCTGGGCTGTTTCACTTCATTTGCAAAACTAACGCAACAAGTACCTTAATTTCGCCAATTTATCGCGCGCACGTGATGTCAAAACTTGAAGGATAAGGGTAAGCTTACATGACGTGCGTCGGTTGCCATCGATTTGCGTATTGAGGTACTCTACGTTTAATGGCGTTGTACCTGCTTACATTTCTTGACGCTCGTTTCCATGTGAATGATAAGTGTTTGTGTTTTTATTTTAAAACCGAGCGTGCCTCATCTGAATCTACCCTAACCTCTCAAGTTTTACGTCACGTGCACATGATCCATTAGCATCCACAAAGCGATGGTCCAAAATATCATCCACGACACAAACAGTGTATGATCAGTTAGTTTCGCTTATTGTGTGTGACTCTGGTGAGCCAGCTGGTCCCGACTAAATCGAAAACAGAACTCTTTACAAAGCATACTAAGCTGACCAGAGCCCTAGAGCGACACGATGAATCGATGTTTAATTAACTTACAAGAAAAATAGTCAGATTAGGTTTATAGACGGAGCTGTCCATAATTCTGTGAAAGTCTTATAGTTGGCGTCGAGTGGTATACAGTAAGTCAAGATTACTGCTTTTCCAATATCTGCAATGTCACGTATTGCAAAATATTCACACAAAAGTGATAAGTAGTAAGAAAACGTACTGTAAAAATACTGTACGCATCTATGTTATATCCCCAACCTTGAAAAAATCCTCCCCCAAAGTATCTACAGAAAACCTGTCCAATTAACAATTACTGAAAAACCTACTGAACCACGTACGTTACTATATTGGAGCTATAGTCAAAAAGGACAAGGCGGCAATCGGAAATGTCATTATCCCCGACACAAGCAGCTGTATCTTCTGAGCAATTACTGAGAACATGGTCATTTATTGTCGCCATACTGTGAGTGACTGGGGGACCAATTGACCATGGCAGTTGAACGGAAAATACACAACTCATTACAAAGCATATTAAATCTACGAGAGACGTCCAACGAGTCGATGCTAAAATCCCCCGCAACAGGTTTATAGACTAGTCCTAGAACATTTATCAATGATTCCATGAAAGTCTTATTGTTGGCGTCGAGCGGTTAGTGTTGTCCAACATCTGGTTTACATGTAATGTCACATATCGCAAAATCTTTGTCAACGCAAAAGTGCGCCGCTTGCATTGTACATTTGACGGCAGTGATTACTGGCAACGACAAGATCTTTATGCTGAAGCTAGGATAGAGTCACTGAAGTACACCAAGTCTCGGATCGTAAATCAATTTCATTCTATGATGGTGGATGACTACTTCCATTTTTATAGCCGTACTATCTTCCAGTTTGAGCCTAAGGGCATATGGGCCTGTCACCTCGTCGCGCACTATATACTAACTTTTTCAGTAGACCACATTCGCTTGTTTGCTTTCCATTGTCAGTCTCCAAAACAAGGTCTATATCGTACTGATAATTGCTTCAAGCATGGAATGGCATCGTATCAATGAACTGTCAACACTGATGGAACAGGCGTAACGCGAATTCTTTGCGGCTAGAATGAGAAACGAGAAGGATAGCGCTAGTCATGGCAAAACATCGTGGTCCATTGTGGTATTTCCATATAAGTTCTAAGGATTTTTGGTGAATGTTAGTTTTTAGTGACGTTAAAGATTAATAGTGATAGTTCGCGACAATTATTATAAACGTTTTTATGCCGGACAGCCTTCAAGAGCTTTTGTTTTATGTGATATTTGTTTAAAAATGGTTGAATCTTGCAGTGCGGTGAATTGTTGCAATAGATGAAGAAAAGATGTGAAAATGAAGTTTCACAGGTTGGTTTTAATCATCTCATTCATTTTTGTGTGAGAATTACCTGTTAATTGGTAATTCGAGAAAATATCTGGATTTTTAGGATACCTACAGATCCTAACATGAGGTTACATTCTATAAGAAGAGAAAACTTTACTCCCAGTACAACAACGGTAATTTGTGAAAAGCATTTCACTCCAGAGGATTATGAAGTTAGTGTCCATGGAACAAAGGTACTAAAAAAGGTGGCAGTTCCATCTGTGTTTGATTTTCCAGCCCATCTCAAGAAAGAACCTAGCCATCGAAGGGTTTTGAAAACATGAATACATAATTTCTAGAATGAACTATGGTATAACCTATATTGTATTATAATGAAAAACTGTACATCTATTGTTAATGCCATTGTGCACAAATAATATATATAGGTGAAAAATTAAAGCTTCCGCCTTTTGTTGGGTACTTCGACAAAATTTAAGCAAAGAGGACTCTTTATACTTTTTTAATTCACTCTAGCTTTCAATGGACTTTGCCATCATCATCAGGAGCTGCAATTACAATGACAACAGTAACAACAAAAGTGTAAAATGAATTTAAATTGACTCAACTTACAGTAGTATGTGAGGATGTTGCTAATTGTTGTTTACGTATAGGATGAGGGAAACGTCCAGTAACATGGTGAGAGCTGGATAGATGGTACAATGGTCAAAATTATATAAAATATGACAAGAACAAGTTAAAAACAGATTAAAAATTATTTAAAAAACATTAGAGCATTACATCGTGAAGCCACTTGATGATTGCACAAAATGGTGGTCATGGAATAATGAGTGAGATGAACCCTTTGACAGAAGGCCGAAGGTTGTCAATGTCTGTGTTGAAAAATGGAACGAATTGTGGGCGTGTGCCAAACGTTGCCAAATCACTTCAGATGATGTGATTTTCAGAATGTTATGTAAGAAATTGTTAAACCGACCAGAGGCAGTTGAATAAACTATATTTTAATTAATGGGAATTTAAATTAACAATTATTAATAAATCGTGAGAAGAGAATTATTATATTTTGAGTGGAATGAAATTTACTGGTGGAATCGGCCAAAACACATATTCTATTTATGGTTGTGAAGAGTCGAAATTTGGGGAGATATGTAAGTTCTCCAATTTTTCGCAGTTTAGCAAATATGAGTAAATGACACTCAGTTGTTTAACATCTGTCTTTTTGTTGATACAGTTGTTATTCATGAAAATGTGGGACATTTCCAGGAATAGAAAGAAAAACACCTTTCCAAACGTTTATTCCTGGAAATGTCCCACATTTTCATGAATAACAACTGTATCAACAAAAAGACAGATGTTAAACAACTGAGTGTCATTTACTCATATTTGCTAAACTGCGAAAAATTGGAGAACTTACATATCTCCCCAAATTTCGACTCTTCGCAACCATAAATAGAATCTGTGTTTTGGCCGATTCCACCAGTAAATTTCATTCCACTCAAAATATAATAATTCTCTTCTCACGATTTATTAATAATTGTTAATTTAAATTCCCATTAATTAAAATATAGTTTATTCAACTGCCTCCGGTCGGTTTAACAATTTCTTACATAACATTCTGAAAATCACATCATCTGAAGTGATTTGGCGACGTTTGGCACACGCCCACAATTCGTTCCATCTTTCAACACAGACATTGACAACCTTCGGCCTTCTGTCAAAGGGTTCATCTCACTCATTATTCCATGACCACCATTTTGTGCTATCATCAAGTGGCTTCACGATGTAATGCTCTAATGTTTTTTAAATAATTTTTAATCTGTTTTTAACTTGTTCTTGTCATATTTTATATAATTTTGACCATTGTACCATCTATCCAGCTCTCACCATGTTACTGGACGTTTCCCTCATCCTATACGTAAACAACAATTAGCAACACCCTCACATACTACTCTAAGTTGAGTCAATTTAAATTCATTTTACACTTTTGTTGCTACTGTTATCATTGTAATTGCAGCTCCTGATGATGATGGCAAAGTCCATTGAAAGCTAGAGAGAATTAAAAAAGTATAAAGAGTCCTCTTTGCTTAAATTTTGTCGAAGTACCCAACAAAAGGCGGAAGCTTTAATTTTTCACCTAACTGGTCTAGACGACGATGACCACGTCTCAAGTTATATATATAAGGGTTTTTTCTTTGTACACTTTAATCTCTACAAAACTGGACGTGTTCCCAATACATTTAGTGTTGACAGCTACAGTACTATAAAAATAAATTTAAATGTGCATAAATACTATTTAGAACATTATAAAGATATATAGAAAATAACATGTATTTATTGTGATATTTCTTAGATCTCTTATTTTTTATATGAAAGATATAGCATATTAGAGCAGTTAAGTTAATTATAAGCAGAGTTGTAATCTCTTTGCTACCTGAATTATTAATTACTTATGTTATATACTAATTTTTATATCTTTAAATGTGTAAAGGAGAATTTATTGTCAAGTTTCATACATATGTATATATAAATAAATAAACTTGGTTTTTTAATTATAATTACGTTTCCAGGATTTTCTCTCGTTCCAGTTGCCTGAAGAACTTTTAAATCTTCTCTAAGAATCCTCGGTTTCCTATGCAATTCATTCTGGTCCGCGCGCTTTTTGCCCTGACTAGCTCCATCTCTCTCTCGGACCTCTTTGTCGTATGTTGGCCGCATTATCGTTTCATTGTACAAATGGAACGGGGCGATTCCATCAGTGTTGACAGTTCATTGCATCGTATACCTTTTTGCTCATAGAGGTTGAAAGCAAATAGATCCAGTTCAGCTAATTTTACAATGAACGCCCTAAACGCATAGTTTTTATGTACAAATCTCCTCGTACCTTCCCTGTCTTGAAAGAGTAATGCAGTTAACTGTTAACGATTCATTAATATAGACTGATGTCTTTTAATCCTGAAATTCAAATTTCAGTGCTTCCTGGTAAAAATGATGAGCTCGAACTGGACTGGGCGCCCAAGGGCAATAACGAAACGGTCGACAGGTACCTCAAAACCTTACCGCCAGATCAGCTGTTAGTCAAAGGTTCCCAAGCAGCACTGGAGAGGAAACAATTGTTACATAAGCAGATTCCCATCCACGATATTGACCCAGAATTGTGCCATGACTTGACCGACGAGGAACTATCCAAAATGAACGATTATATTGCACATGTCAAACAAAGCAGTGTTGGGGTTGGGCAAATTGTCAGCCTGTCAACCATAATCCAAGGTAGCTACACAATACTGAACTTTTTGCCTGAACTGTCTGAATTAATTGGTAATTAATGTTAGATCTGAAACTTAACCTGTGGTTTTCATGTCGATAATCCCCCATGTTTGTCTGGCCAGTGAAACCAGATATATTTTAAATTCTTCTTAGCTGTATCCCTAACGATCGAGGTGATTAGCATTTAAGTTACCGTTTTAGAGCACTTTCTACCTGACCGCAAACGTAATTAGGATATCTCGCTTGATTGTTGACCCATTTTGATTCAGTTTTCAGCTCAATAATAAGATGAGAATTGTTAAATTCGGAAAAAACTTTTGGATTGTCATTTTTTTGTCAAAAATAAATTATATCTCATGAAGCGAACCTTTTTTGTGGAATCTAGTTGTTTCTGAACAAGAAAACTATTTCTTATAACCAATTTCCAAATTTAAAGCTTCTCCGTTCCAAAACAACTGACAAAATCAGGAACTACTAAATGCATTTTCTTACCCCTTTATTCAATTCAGACTGAACGGGGCTATACGCATTACTGACTGTTTTTAGTGAGATTAAATTAAGTTGTTACAAGTTATAATGGAAACAATGACTGTGCAAGTGAACTAGGTATATCCTAGTAAAAAAGGAGCAAGAGGCACAAGAAATGACATCAAAGGTAAATATATTGCAATTATATTCTGTTTAACTGGCTGGTATAATATATGAAGCTACTTTTTATTTTAGCTTCGGTATACTTTTTAGAAACCTGAACTCGCCAGCTTATATGTGGTCGAAAGTTTTTCGTAAATTAGATTTTTTGGCCTAATTTCCGACACATATAGTCAACATGTTTGTTGAAAGTTAGTTGATGATCTATTATAATACCTGAATACCTACAAATATCTACAAAATCAAGTACCTCTCCCTCAATTTTCACTGGCATATTTAAATCTACCAATTTCTTGCAACTATTCTTCGAACCTATGATCATACATTTCGTTTATCTCACATTTAATTTAATCTTGTTTGTTTTTAACCATAAAGCACGCTTGCTCATTTGACTATTCATTACATCTACAATTTCGTTACTTACTGAATCACTAACTGAAATTAATGTATCATCCACAAACAAATTTATAAAAGAATTGTTAAGGACATTGGACATATCATTGACATATAGAATGGGCAATTGGGTACTCCATGATCAACAGAAACATTATTTGATATTTTACTTTCAATTTTTACCACTAGTAACCGCTTAGATAAATAATCGCCCACCCACAAGATGGCTGTACCCTTAATTCTATACAGTTCACATTTTCTCAACAACAATTTCCTGTAAATAGTTTCAAACGCTCTTTTCAGGTAAACAGACACACACACAATCACTTTACCATCATCTACATCATTTTTCCACTTTGTACATACAAACATGCAGTTTCATAAGAATGATTCCTTCTGAACCCGATTGCCTCTCAAAAAGAACACCGTTCCCACGTAGATGCTCACTCAGATGTTCATGCACTGTTATTTTTATAATTTTCTCGACTACTGGCATAAGATTGATGGGTCGCAAGTCTTCTGGCTTACGTGGATTATTTGTGTTGAGTACTGCGACTATAGTACTCCTCTTCAACAATGAAGGCGTCTTTCCAAAGTGCATGTAAGTGCTTCTTTACCCATAGATTTTTTCTTCAATTGAAAAAGTTTTGCGTAGCTTATTCAGTGAAATTTCTTAAAACCTCCAAAGTTGTTCTTCTAAAGGCCCTGTCGCCGTTATAGCTTCCTCATTACCTGAAGGTATGGTGGTTACTATATCAGTTACACTATTAATAAAATAATTGTTCAATTTTTTCAAATAATTTGCTCAAGAAATGTATCGTGGAGATCTGTTCGACATTAGCATACCTGATTAATCTTTCTTGTGAACAGGGAACTTTTCCAAGTTGTTTGAAACAAGCCTTGGTTATACCTATCTACAAACGGAATGATCCAAATGACTATGCCAACTATAGAGGCATCAGCTTGCTTTCAAGTATATCTAAGGTGTTTGAACTCAACATGAAGAATCAACTAGTGGATTTTTGTAGCAAAAATAATTTTATATCAGATAGTCAGCATGGATTTATTAGTAAAAGAAGCACTGAAACTGCATTGTATAGTTTTGTAGAACATATTGTGGCTGCACTAGATCATAAAAAACATATATGTGGTTTATTCATAGATTTCTCTCGTGCGTTCGATTATGTGGACCATGAGCTACTTCTTTTCAAACTGCACAGGTATGGAATACGTGGCTTGCCATTGCAGCTGTTTCGCTCGTATATTACACAAAGAAAACTACGCGTTTGGGTCAACGGTACCAAAAGTGAAACATCAGAAGCAAACATCGGTGTGCCACAGGGTTTAATTTTAGGACCATTTTTGTTTTTGTTGTATGCTAACGATTTGTCCGACTTTATATCTGAAGCTGGTCCTGAATATAAGGTTGTGGCATATGCAGATGACACCAATATCTTGATTACCAGTCTAAACATCACCGAGCTGCCGGAAATGACTGAGAGAGCATACAACATAATCATTAAATGATCTGAAAGTAACTTCCTCCGAGTCAACACAGAAAAGACCAGCATTGTGAAATTCGCATTAAAAGATGAACAAGATTTCAATATTTTTGATCACACTAACAGAGCTATTCCATCATCTAATTCAGTTAACATGCTGGGGATGATACTTGATTGTCGAATGTCGTGGGGGTTCCACGTTGAGTGTTTGTGCAATAGATTGCGAAGGAGTTGCTATGGCTTGAAATTCTTAGCAAAGCAGTGCAGTAAACGAATTTTAAAAACTTTATATGCCACTGTCAACTGTTATATCCGGTATGGTATTCTGAATTGGGGAAGTAGTTCACTAACTGTAAGAGTTCTCCTGCTGCAAAAATATGCCATTAGAATTATTGATAACCTTGGTTGGCGCCAATCCTGTAGAGAATCCTTTAGAACACTAAAGATGTTGACTGTTATAGGTATTTACATTTATGAGTTGTCTTTGTTTTCAAAAATAAGTGCGAATTTGAAGTCATCAAACACCAGCATGAATATCCAACTAGGTCTAAGATGCTTTTAATCCCGCCGAGACATCGAACTACGGCATACCAAAAAACATGCAGGTATATGGGATGTAAGATTTTTAATAAGCTCAATGATGATATTAGGAATGAATCTAATATAGCTGTTTTCAAAAGAAAACTAAAACTTTTTTTGATAGACAAATGTTTCTACACCTTGGAGGAGTTTTTTGTTTAGATCTATGTTTTTATACTTTTTCAACTCGTCACCACTATTTTTATGACCTTTTCATCTGTTATAGAATTTTCTGTTCCATTCAACAATGAAATAAATTATTATTATTATGTTGAAGTCTCCAACTACCACAGAATTATTTTGGCTTACATGCTCTTGATCTAATAAATTTTCAAATTCCAGTTTATTTCCATTTGGAGATCTATATATACCACAGAAAAACATAAATTTTGTCAAGAATATTTGTCTTCACCAAGGCACACCAATACTCCATACTCCTTGCATCTTGCTCCAGCACCTCATTTTTCGCTCCATATTTTATATACATAGTAACTCCTCCTGTATGCCGGCTATTGGAGTAGGTTACTACGCTTTGGTATCCGCATATGCTCCATTTCATTTCCAAATCTTCAGTTACATGCGTTTCACTAATTACTGCAACTATAGGCGACTTTTCTATTAACATTTGCTTAAGATGAAAGACATGTTTTGTTATTCCCTGAATATTTACGGCCATAACGGAATTGCTGTTTATTGTTTCTAATTATTGCTACTTTAAATATCTAAAACAATCTTTATCTTATCCTTGTTATCTGCCTTAAATATGACTGATAATTGATATACTTGACGTCAGACATTTGTGCATACGAACAATTTGTACAAGAATGGATTTCCGTTTTACATTCTTGTTTTCTATGTTTTTGACCGCATAGTGGACATGTCAATCCGGAATTGCAGTTTTCAGATGTATGTCCATATATCCAACATTTATAACACCGCAGAATGCTAATAAAATCAAAGTATCTATAGCTATTCCATCCAATATACAGAGTTGTTTTTTGATAGCTCGTTGAGAACGTTACATTCCTTTATTCCCTATTCCTATTTTGCTAAGTTCAGCGCCCGCTATGTATAAATTGTTGAATAAATGATGAGCACTCGAACTGGACCTATTTTCTCGTTCTAGGTAATCACGCAGCTATCAAGGATATTTATTTATTTATTTATTGAAATCAGGGAAATATTCCGTTAAAGAGAAGAATGAAAGAAGAACGGATAGCCCAAACTTCTAATACATATTCCTGAAAAATGTACTGTAAAAACCGCCGAGGAAACCAAGACATATGTGAGACACAGTCATGCTGGTCCCAAGCGCAGGCGCAGGAGAACCGAATACTGAGCGATGGTAACTCTCGGGCAGAACCCCTGCAGAATACCCTGCGAAAGCGGACCGCGGAGCAGATACTCCCCTTAGCCCATACTTTTAACTAACCACAACAAAATTGGAATCGATCTGCCAAGTTTTTTGACTTATTTTCCATCTATCACTACTAGCTTATGAAGCAACATACAAGGTTCCTTCAAATGACATTTCATTTAAAAATACACTTATTTACTTCGCCAATATGGCGTATTTTTCTTATAAACAAATTCAAAAATTTCGTATTTGCGAGGAATCGAGCTGATGCGTTACGATTTTCGAAAAGCATACGTTATTATAAATGTTTTAAAACAAAGCGAACGTGTCTACGACTTTTTGTATGAGAGGAAAATGTTTTCTTCAAAATTTCTTCAAACCTTTGTTTATACGTATTTAGGGCCGTATTGTCAGTGTTCCTACAATTGTAGGACGCCCTTACGACCCCTTGGTTTTCATGGTTATTCCTACCCTTCACAAAAGCTGGAATATTTCTAGATTTCTACTGTTCCGTGTCAGCGCTC